GATATGGGGCTCAAACCCCCGACCCCCAATCTTCTGACTCCAGCCAAGAATACAACCAACTGAGTTTCTGTAAAATGCAGGATTTCTGTAATTAATGTGTTAAATAAGCTCTCAACTTCTCTTAGCAATGTTAATATATATATTTGAGACATGTGGTCATCTCCTATGAGGAGAGTTGGTTGTGACGAGCTTCAAAGAAGATTCTTGCTGAAGAAGGAGAAACAAAAGACTCTTTATAAACAATAACTGTTCTCATTCCTTGTCAGTCATTTCCTCATGGAGACTGGTCTGCAGCTGGAGAGAGAGAGAGCTGTGTGGCATTTCCTTTTACATAGGAACCATCTTACAAAAGACAACAGGTGAAGGTCACCTAATCAACAGTATAAACGGAGATCGATTCGAAAAGAGAAAGAAGAGATGGGAACTTGGAGTCGCGAACCATATTCCAGTTTCTAAAGAAGGAAGATCCAGACTACGATTTCAACAACTCTAACCGTACAATAATACCCGGATACGCCGTATATAGATACTTTGGGTAATAGGGAACTGGGAACCGTACAATAATACCCGGATACCTTTGGGTAATAGGGAACTGGGAACCGTACAATAATACCCGGATACCTTTGGGTGATAGCGAACTGGGAACCGTACAATAATACCCGATACCTTTGGGTAATAGGGAACTGGGAACCGTACAATAATACCCGATACCTTTGGGTGATAGCGAACTGGGAACCGTACAATAATACCCGATACCTTTGGGTGATAGCGAACTGGGAACCGTACAATAATACCCGGATACCTTTGGGTGATGTACAATAATACCCGGATACCTTTGGGTGATAGCGAACTGGGAACCGTACAATAATACCCGATACCTTTGGGTAATAGGGAACTGGGAACCGTACAATAATACCCGATACCTTTGGGTGATAGCGAACTGGGAACCGTACAATAATACCCGATACCTTTGGGTGATAGGGAACTGGGAACCGTACAAGGGTGGAGGGGGAGGAGCCAGATGGAGGGGGAGGAGCCAGGGGAGGGGGAGGCAGGGGGAGGAGCCAGGAGAGGGAGGAGCCAGGAGAGGGGGAGGAGCCAGGGGAGGGGGAGGAGCCAATGGGAGCGGGAGGAGCCAGGGGAGGGGAGGAGCCAGGGGGAGTGGGAGGAGCTAAGGGGAGGGGGAGGAGCCAGGGGAGGGGGAGGGGGCGAAGGTGACCAATGTCGCAGCAGAAAAAAAAGGTCTTCAGCCGAGACCTGAGAATGGGAAGAGAGGGGGTGAGGGGAAGGGAGTGAGGGAGGGAGTTCCAGAGCCTCGGGACGCAGTGGCTGAAGGCACAGCCACCGAGGGGGGAGCGGGGGACGAGGAGGAGGTCAGACCTGAGGAACGAAGGCAACGGGTACTGTTGTGAGGAGAGAGGAGGTCAGAGAGGTCGGAGGGGCAGAGGAGTGGAGGGATTTGAAGACAAGAGTGAGGATCTTGAAGTGGATCCTCTCCGGACAGGAGCCGGTGCAGTCTGACCAGGACTGGGGGGATCGGGGAGTGGGGTTTGGGTGGGGGAGGGCCAGGACTGGGGGATCGGGAGAGGGGTTTGTGTGGGGGGGAGGGCCAGGACTGGGGGGATCGGGGAGTGGGGTTTGGGTGTGGGGGGGGAGGGCCAGGACTGGGGGATCGGGGAGTGGGGTTTGGGTGTGGGGGAGGGCCAGGACTGGGGGGATCGGGGAGTGGGTTTGGGTGTGGGGGGGAGGGCCAGGACTGGGGGATCGGGGAGGGGGTTTGGGTGTGGGGGGGAGGGCCAGGACTGGGGGGATCGGGGAGTGGGGTTTGGGTGTGGGGGGGAGGGCCAGGACTGGGGGGTCGGGGAGTGGGGTTTGGGTGGGGGGGGAGGGCCAGGACTGGGGGATCGGGGAGAGGGGGTTGGGGGGGGGGGTGGGGGGATCGGGGAGAGGGTTTGGGTGTGGGGGGGAGGGGCCAGACTGGGGGGATCGGGGAGTGGGGTTTGGGTGTGGGGGGGAGGGCCAGGACTGGGGGGATCGGGGAGTGGGGTTTGGGGGTGGGGGGAGGGCAGGGGGGGGGGGGGGGGGGGGGGGGGGGAGGGCCAGGACTGGGGGGATCGGGGAGGGGTTTGGGGTGGGGGGAGGGCCAGGACTGGGGGGATCGGGGAGTGGGGTTTGGGTGTGGGGGGAGGGCCAGGACTGGGGGGATCGGGGAGAGGGGTTTGGTGCGGGTGAGAATGCGGGCGGCAGAGGTTTGAATGATCTGCATTTTATGGATGGCAGTGGAGGGGAGGCCGGAGGTGGAAAAATAGAGTTGGGTGTCGTCCGCATACATGTGGAAATGTACCCCATGTACCCCATCCCCAAGAGGGGGCATATAGATCAGAAAGAGGAGGGGGCCAAGGATGGATCCTTGGGGTACCCGCAGGTGACCGGGTGAGAGGGGGAGGAGAAGCCGTTTGTGCAGATGTACTGCTGGCGGTTTGTGAGGTAGGACTCGAACCGGGCGAGTGCGGTCCCACTGAGGTGGATGATGGAGGAAAGGCGGTGGAGGAGGATGGAGTGATCGACTGTGTCGAACGTGGCGGAGAGGTCCAGGAGGACAAGGAGGCAGAGGGAGCCCCGGTCACAGATAGAGAGGATGTCGTTTGTGACTTTCACAAGCGTAGTCTCTGTACTGTCCGGTGGGCGGAAACCGGACTGGAGGGGTTCGAAGAGGGAGTGGGAGGAGAGGTGTGCGCGGAGTTGGTTGGCAACAACGCGATCTGGGACTTTTACGAGGAAGAGCAGGTTAGATATATGGCGATAGTGGCCGGGGTTTGAGGGATCTCGGGAGGGTTTTTTGAGGAGGGGGGTGATGACAGCAGTTTTGAGGGGGTCAGGGACTGATCCGGAGGAGAGGGACTGGTTGATGACGTCAGCCAGTAGTGGGCAGAGGAGGGGGAGCTGTGTGACCAGAAAGTTGGTGGGGAGGGGGTCGAGGCAGTAGGTGGTGGGTTTCATGGAGGTGATGGTGGGTGAGAGGGAGGAGGGAGAGATGGGGAGGAAGGAATGTAGGATGGGGGTGGTGGTAGGAGCAGATGATGGGGAGGGTGAGGGGGGCAGAGAGGGCGTGGTGGTGGGTGACAAGAGGCAGGAGGATGAGGCTGCCTGGCGGATGTTGTGTATTTTAGATGAGTCCATGACCTCCTCGCACTTGGCATTGGATGTGAAGATTGGGGGCCTGAGGGGGGCCACGGAGTAGGTAGTGGGCGGTGGAAAAAAGGATTTTAGGTTTGTGTTTAGCCTCCAAGATGATGTTGGGGTAGAAGCAGTTTATGCGCGTGTCAAAGGACAGCGGTAGCTGTGGAGATGCTCGAGCCACAGTTGGGATGGACTGAGGCCAGTTTTCCGCCATCTGCGCTCGAGCAGCTGGGTTTGGGTTTTTAGGGAGCGGAGATGGTTGTTGTACCGGGGATCAGGTGGGTTTGGAGATGGTGGTTGTACCAGTGGGATCGGGAGGGTTTGGAAATGGTTGTTATACCAGGGGGATCGGGAGGGTTTGGAGATGGTTGTTGTACCAGGGGAATCGGGAGGGTTTGGAGATGGTTGTTGTACCAGGGGAATCGGGAGGGTTTGGAGATGGTTGTTGTACCAGGGGAATCGGGAGGGTTTGGAGATGGTTGTTGTACCGGGGGATCGGGTGGGTTTGGAGATGGTGGTTGTACCGGGGGGTTCGGGTGGGTTTGGAGATGGTCCTGGATTTCAGGGGAATGAGGGAGTCGAAGGTGGAGGAGAGGCGATCATGGAGCAGCTGGATGGCTGCTTCAGGATCTCCGCAGGTGGAAGGCCAGAGGGATAGGATATTTGATGATGAGAGGGCCTTTGAGAGGGTCTTAGGGGGGAGCCTTTTCCATCGGCGGTAGAGAATGTTTGAGAGCTTAGTGGAGGAGAGAGGGATGTGAGGAGAAGGAGATGAGAAAGTGGTCCGAGATGGCCTTGTCCACTATGCTAAGGTCGGAAATGTCAAGGCCGTGGGTGATGATGAGGTCGAGGGCATGACCACGGTTGTGGGTCGGTGAATTAATGTGAAGGGTGAGGTTTAGGGAGGAGAGGAGGGCAGTGAAGTCGGCAGAAGTGGTGCCACGAGTTTAGGTGGAGGTTGAAATCGCCCATTATGAGCAGGCGCTCGGAACAGAGGGACAGGGAAGAGAGGAGAGTAGAGATGTAGAGAGGAAGGAGCCGGGGGGCTTAGGGGGGCTGTAGACCAGGAGGATTTTCAATCGGAGAGAAGGAGGAAGAAGGTGAGGTGCTCAAAGGAGGGGAAGCAATCAGAGGAGTCGGGGGAAAGACCAAGGGAGGCTTTGGAGATAAGGGCCACCCCATCGCCACATTGGTTTGGACGGGGGGTGTGGTGGAAGGTGTAGCCAGGAGGGGCGGCTTCAACTGGGGGTTGGGGTCCCTGGGGGAGAGCCAGGTTTCGGTGAACCGCAGCATTTGCAGCGTTTAGTTTGGTCAATTTAAATCATTGTGAACTACAGTATAAGTGGATACGTGAGCATAATTACATTTTGTTCTTTTAATTACTATATCTATTATTAATCTGAATTAATAAACCTTGATTAATTGTACAATAATTCTGTCAGTCCTTACTTCACAGTAGGGTAACAAAAATAAATCAACCCTTACAAAGCGAGAGACCAGGGTTCGATTCCCGGCAGAGCAAAATCTTTGGCAAATTTCCTTACTCCACACACTTGATAATAGTCCCTCAAGAAAACAATATTAAATTGGTCACTTCAATCCACGACCGTTTGTGGGACATTGCAGTGCACAATTGGCTGCCGTGTTTCGCCCACAAACATACAGTCAATTCACTTTACAGTATATTTGGTGAAGGGCTTTGAGTCGTCTCAAAGACGTGAAGAGTGCTATATCAAATGCAAGGATTATTTATTTATTTATTAATTATAACAGAGGCGTGTGGAGTAAGGAAACTTGCCCAACATATCGAACCAGGTCCTCTCACTTGCGAGGTGAATGTTCCAACCACTAAGCTACAGGTCTCCACTTTAAGATCCACATAATCAACTGAGCCTGTGGTCACCTCCCCTCTCCCTTGCTCTGCGTCCAACCACATCCGAGTCCCTGCTCTCTCCCCGTCGTGTCTGTGCTGGTGCTCGCTCCCCACTGCCGCTCTTCAATCCCATTGACCTCCACCTTCTCAAATCCTTGCATATAATTCCTCCTGTCTTTATCTAATGCCCAGTAAACACTATTCTGGTTTGAAGAGCCATGTGGGCGAGGCATTCCACACTCTAACCCCGTCTGTAAAATATCTCCTCTAAATTGACACGTTCCCCTGATGATAACATGACTTTGTGCCTCGTGTCACTGCCTCTGATCAGATGACGTGTGGAGGTCCTGTGTGGAACTTGGGAAAAAGACTCCTTACATTTGTCACATCTTCATTTCCCCAAAGTCTGACAAGTCGCCTTCAGTGTGGATTAGTTCAGGTAAAACATGGAGGCAAATGTACAGGACTGTTTCTTCACAAACTACACATCTTGTAGGTGAGGAAAGCTGCTGCAACACAGGCCAGGACTCCCAGAGCTGTCCCCATGTTGATCCAGACCTGTTCTCTGCTCCCTGTGTCCAGACAATGTGGAGAGAATGAGAGAATCAGAGCTTCACAACAACTGACATTTACACAGCGCCTCACATGTAAACAAACACAAAACAATCTATACTAATAAAACAGCAAACTATACTAATAAAGAGACATGAGTTATAGCTCATTAGAAAGTTCTTGGAACTGGGAGTGTCATGGGCACTTGGGGATTGTTTTCAGGGATCTCCTACCGTTGACGAGCTATGACCTAAACAAGCTCAGCACACAGGATGCCCGCAGGTTGTGCCCGCAGTTACACCTGGTAGCTATGGCAATTCACAGTGGCGGGTGGAATCATAGAGCACACACACCGCACACACACACACACACACTCAGACACAGCCTGGAGGTGGTAAGGTGGAAGCCTCCTGAGGCCGTGTTGCCGTTTGGCTGCTTTATTTACCTGGTGTTCCTGGGCGGCCACGCGATGGGTGGGGCAATGATGGAGTTGGGCAGGTGATGGCCACGGGGTTTCCAGGTTCTTCCGCGGCTCTTCCATGGCCTAGGAGCGATAGCCGGGGAGGGTGAATCCTGGGGCTCGAGTTGGGGCACCGTCTGCGGCTGGGGTTTCTCCCCTCCCCTCCCCTCTGGAGTTTAGCCGCTCCCCTTATGTAGACAATAACTTCCTGTACCTGTTGCAGCTTCACTTGCAACCACAGGATCCAACATGGAATGTAGATTAACACACAGACAGACATTCCGTCTTCATTATACTGAGCTGGAGGACTTCTGTCGTGTCTTGCATGCCTTTGTGAGTCCAAGTCCTGCAGGGCTGTTCTTTGAGCGAGCAATTTATTTTAACCTGTTCTTGCATGCCTTTTTGCGTCAAAGTCCAGCTGTGCTTTTCTTTGAGCAGCCAACTCATTTTGCCGTGATCTTGCAGTCCTTTCATCACAGAAGTCCTGCCATGCTCTTCTTTGCTCTTCAGTTTCATTTAATCGGCCTTCTCTCTTTTGTCTGGCATTTTTATTTGTCCTTGAAAGGCTTGATCTTCGCTTCTTAGGCATCTTCCCTTAAGATTAAGAAAATGTACTATTGGGAGGACTCCTGTGGGAGGACTGTAGCTCCCATGACCACCTGAAAAAACTCCCATACATTTGTTGCAGAATATATTACATATAGCCCTTTGGAAGGCTGTGTGCTTTCCTCTGTCACTACTTTCTTGCAGAATACCATGCATACCTCATATTTTGGGGCTTAATTAAAGCATTTTTTAAATATAGCTCATCAACAAAAGGAGATCCCTGAACAAAAAATGCCCATGACATTCGTGCATGAAAGGCCTTTCCGATGAGGTCTACGTCAATCAGTTATTGCGTTGTTGGCGGAAACACAGACACATACAGACAGAAACTCCGTCTTTATTAATAAAGGTAATCTATCTATCCTAATAAAGTCAAAGTGTCTGTCTGTGCATCTGTCCATGTGTCAATCTACGTTCCATATTGGATCCTTTGTTTACAAGCGGAGCTGCAAATGGGTGGGTACAGCTCGTGCAATATAAATTTACATCGTGCCTTTCACGTAAAGGAATGTAGAAGTTGGAATTGGGTTGAGTCATCAATGCCTTGGGACATCCTCCCAAAGTGAAGGTGCTATTGGTGTTATGATTGCCTGTGAATTAGTTTGGCCACAGTCGGGGTCTCAGGCTACAGTCGGGGTCTCAGGCTACAGTCGGGGTCTCAGGCTACAGTCGGGGTCTCAGGCTACAGTCGGGGTCTCAGGCTACAGTCGGGGTCTCAGGTTACAGTCGGGGGATCAGGCTACAGTCGGCATCTCAGGATACAGTCGGGGTCTCAGGCTACAGTCGGGGTCTCAGGTTACAGTCGGGGTCTCAGGATACAGTCGGGGTCTCAGGCTACAGTCGGGGTCTCAGGTTACAGTCGGGGTCTCAGGTTACAGTCGGGGTCTCAGGATACAGTCGGGGTCTCAGGATACAGTCGGGGTCTCAGGATACAGTCGAGGTCTCAGGATACAGTCGGGGTCTCAGGATACAGTCGGGGTATTAGGCTACAATCGGGGTCTCAGGCTACAGTCGGGGTCTCAGGCTACAGTCGGGGTCTCAGGTTACAGTCGGGGTCTCAGGTTACAGTCGGGGTCTCAGGATACAGTCGGGGTCTCAGGATACAGTCGGGGTCTTAGGATACAGTCGGGGTCTCAGGATACAGTCGGGGTCTCAGGATACAGTCGGGGTCTCAGGATACAGTCGGGGTCTCAGGTTATAGTCGGGGTTTCAGGTTACAGTCGGGGTCTCAGGTTACAGTCGGGGTCTCAGGATACAGTCGGGGTCTCAGGATACAGTCGAGGTCTCAGGATACAGTCAAGGTCTCAGGATACAGTCGAAGTCTCAGGCTACAGTCGAGGTATTAGGCTACAGTCGGGGTCTCAGGCTACAGTCGGGGTCTCAGGATACAGTCGGGGTCTCAGGTTACAGTCGGGGTCTCAGGATACAGTCGGGGTCTCAGGATACAGTCGGGGTTTGGGCTATTGATACAATACACATTGAGGCCTTTCACATCGGGCGGACATTACAAAGTGCTCGACAGTCCAGGTTTGGCCCCCGAGCTGAGGGTGATGTTGGGTTGAGTTACAGTTGGTTTGGGATTGGATTATGGTTCGCCTTGTAGTGGCCTCTTCCTCCTCACTCTGGGCCTCTTCCTCCCCACTCTGGGCCTCTCCTTCCTCACTATGGGCCTCGCCCTGCCCACTCTGAGCCTCGCCCTCCCCACTCTGGGCCTCTTCCTCCCCACTCTGGGCCTCTCCTTCCTCACTATGGGCCTCGCCCTGCCCACTCTGGGCCTCGCCCTCCCCACTCTGGGCCTCTCCCTCCTCACTCTGGGCCTCGCCCTCCTCACTCTGGGCCTCTCCCTCCCCACTCTGGGCCTCTCCTTCCTCAGTACGGGCGTCTCCCTCCGCACTCTGGGCCTCGCCCACCTCACTATGGGCCTCGCCCTCCCCACTCTGGGCCTCTCCCTCCTCACTCTGGGCCTCTCCCTCCTCACTCTGGGCCTCTCCCTCCTCATTCTGGGCCTCGCCCTCCCCACTCTGGGCCTCGCCCTCCCCACTCTGGGCCTCGCCCTCCCCACTCTGGGCCTCGCCCTCCCCACTCTGGGCCTCGCCCTCCCCACTCTGGGCCTCGCCCTCCCCACTCTGGGCCTCGCCCTCCCCACTCTGGGCCTCGCCCTCCCCACTCTGGGCCTCGCCCTCCCCACTCTGGGCCTCGCCCTCCCCACTCTGGGCCTCGCCCTCCCCACTCTGGGCCTCGCCCTCCCCACTCTGGGCCTCGCCCTCCCCACTCTGGGCCTCGCCCTCCCCACTCTGGGCCTCGCCTTTGGAAGAGACGTAATCCCAGTCCAGGCTCTGGCTGTTCAGGGGGAAATGAAAGCTGCTGCGTCACTGGTGAAGAGAGGGGAGAGTCTCCTGGTGTCAAGGCCCACAGTCCCCCACATCACATTCATCTTCACGTCATGGCTGTCGCTGGGACCCCATTGTGTCAAATCCACTGATGTGTTGACGTACAAATCCAGTTCATTACACATTACTGAAGCTTTTTGAGACATTTAATGATATCAACACTGTATCAAAGGCAGCAATGATAATGATAATAACTGAGCCACTGGGTATTTGTTCCCAGTCCTGGACGGCTGCTTTAGTGTGGATCCCGTTACATTTCCCAGACGATAGGAACTCAATACATTACTCTGAATCTCTCCCATGTTTTGGTGCAATGAACAAACTCATTGTAAATCCCTTCCAGTCACTCCTGATATCAAACATAGGTTGACCCCGTGTTATGTTTAGAACTCTGAAGCTCGTGTACTGTCCCGCACCAGGCTTCGCGACCACATCACTCCAACCCTCGCCCTCGCTCACCTCCACTGGCTCCCCATCCCCCAGAGGATCCAATTCAAGATCCTCATCCTCACCTACAAGGCCATTCCCGGCCTCGCTCCCTCCTACCTCTCCGACCCACTATCCCCCACGTAGCTGCCCGTAACCTCCGTTCCTCTGGCTCCAGTCTGCTCCACGTCCCCCGCCCCTACCGCCCGACCATCGGTGGCCTTCAGCATCTCAGCCCCAAGGCTCTGGAACTCCATCCCCAGTGCCTTCGCCGCTTCCTCCCTTTCCTCCTTCAAGGCCGGTCTCAAGACCTTTCTCTTTGACCTTCACCCTTCAGCTCCCCTCTCGACTCTCTACCCCCTCCTCGTTCCCTCCCTTCCCTCCCCTTACCCTGACCATTCCCCCCTCCTCGCTCCCTCCCTTCCCTCCCCTCACCCTGACCATTTCCCTCCAATGCTCGGGTCCTGACCCAACTGTACATCGCCTTGGGACGTCCTCCCGACGTGAAAGACGCTCTATAAATGGAATCTTGTTGTCTTTTTGTTGTTTAGGGTGTGTACCTACACACAGTGTGAGGTTAGGGTGTGTACCTACACACAGTGTGAGTTTAGGGTGTGTACCTACACACAGTGTGAGTTTAGGGTGTGTACCTACACACAGTGTGAGTTTAGGGTGTGTACCTACACACAGTGTGAGTTTAGGGTGTGTACCTACACACAGTGAGAGTTTAGGGTGTGTACCTACACACAGTGTGAGTTTAGGGTGTGTACCTACACACAGTGTGAGTTTAGGGTGTGTACCTACACACAGTGAGAGTTTAGGTGTGTACCTACACACAGTGAGAGTTTAGGTGTGTACCTACACACAGTGTGAGTTTAAGGTGTGTACCTACACACAGTGAGAGTTTAGTGTGTGTACCTACACACAGTGAGAGTTTAGGGAGTGTACCTACACACAGTGAGAGTTTAAGGTGTGTACCTACACACAGTGAGAGTTTAGTGTGTGTACCTACACAAAGCTCCTGAGGACATTTGAGGAGCTGAAATCTGACAGTAAAACCTGACACAGTATAAGTTTACTCACTGGTTATGTTCAGTCGGGTCCCGTTCCCACAGACATCTCCCTCCACACAGCATTGATAGACGGCAGCGTCACTGACTGTCACTCGTCTGAGTATCAGAATGTAGGTGTTATTGGAGGTGACTCTGGACGGCTGGAGACGCTGATTAACAACTTCGTGATCTGTTTTCCTTCCATTTGTATCATGTGTTAAAATCCACTCCCTCTGCTGTCCCGGGAGTTGTCGGTACCAGTGTACATCACTGTGGCTCACGTCTGCGTTCTTCATGGAGCACTGTAACCGGGCCGGGTGTCCCTCTGTGACACGTTCCAGGGTCGGGGACTGAATGAGGAGAGGAGCAGCCACACCTTTAAGGGACAAATCTCCGTCAGTTACAGTCCAGCCTGGAGGGAACAGTCCTACACTGATCACAGGCAATTAGTTTGTTTCAAATCAGTGACTAAACTAAATATTGTCACTAACATTACATTAAATTATAACAATTATATAATACATTTAATTGTATAATCCAACTTGAAGATTCTCCTCAATGGGACAGACCAAAGCTTTATCTTATCCCAGGGAGTTTGGGGTAGGTATAGAGACCCAAGCCTTGGACTTTAACCAATGTGAGCACTGCTGACTGGCACTGCCGACACTTCCTGCTGCTTGTCCAGCTCGTATCACCGTGAGGTTACCTATACTAAATTATAATAATAATCCTCGCATTTGATATAGCGCTTTTCACATCTTCTAGACGTCTCAAAATCCTTCACAGAATAGACTGTAAAGTTAATTGATGGTATATTTGTGGGCAAACAAGGCAGCTAATTGCGCAAAGCAGTGTCCCACAAACAGTCATAGATTGAAGTGACCAATTTATTTAATTTTTCTTGAGGGATTATTATCAGGCGTGTGGAGTACCTTAAATTTCCCAAGTCTTCGCCCGGCTGGGAATCAAACCCAGGTCTCTCGCTTGCGAGGCAAGTGCTCTAACCACTGAGCTGCCGGCCTCCTGCGTAGCTACATCATCCAGACCATCCAGAACCCTACAGTCCACGTCCTCTCCCGCACAAGGATCTGCGACACAATCACCCCATCCTCGCCCGACTCCACTGGCTTCCCATCACACAGAAGATGGAGTCCTGTACTCAATGGTTAGAGCACTCACCTTGCAAGCGAGACACCTGGGTTCAATTCCCGGCAGGTCAGGGCGAAACCTTGGGCAAGTGTCCTTACTCCACACACCTGATAGTAATCCCTCCAAAACAATAATAAATTGTTCTTTTGCGATCCACGACTGTTTGTGAGACACTGCTGTGCGCAATTGGCTGCCGCGTTTCACCCACAAATGTACAGTCAATTCACTTTACAGTGTATTCTGTACGTGGAGTCCTGCAGCTCAGTGGTTAGAGCACTCGCTTTGCAAGTGAGAGACCTGAGTTCTATTCCCGGGGGGTCAGGGCCAAACCTTGGGCAAGTTTCCTTACTCCACACAGAGCCTAATAATAATCCCTCCAAAACCAAAACAATAAATTGGTCATTTTCAATCTACGACTGTTTGTGGGACATTGCTGTGCGCAATTGGCTGCCGCGTTCGCCCACAGATATACAGTCAATTCACTTTACAGTGTGTTCTGTGAAGCGCTTTGGGACGTCCTCCAGACGTGAAAAGCGCTATATCAAATGCAAGGATTATTATTATTCTGTGAAATGCTTTGAGACGTCTGGAATACGTGACTATATCAAATGCAAGGATTATTATTATTATTAAATTATAGGATAAAGTTCAAGATCCTGTTCCTAACCTTCAAAGCCCTCCATGATCTTGTTCCCCACTACCTCGGCCACCTGCTAACTCCTTACCACCTGTTCACCCCCTCCACTCAGCGGGCTCTGGCTTGCTTCACGTCCCCCGCCTGGCTCACCCCAATATTGAGGTGTGCACCTTCTACCACTCTGCCCCCACCCTCTGGAACTCTATCTCGCTGTCCCTCCGCCTTACCCCCTCCCTCGACACCTTCAAGACCCAACTCAAGAGCCTTCTCTTCGAATGTGCTTTCGATCACCCAGATTCCCCCCCTTCCCTCCATCCTCCCACACCCTGACTCCCAGCTCGGGTCTGAAACTCTGTCTGTCCAGCCCCTTGGGACGTCCTCCTGACATGAAAGGCGCTATTCAAGTGTGATTTTGCTGGTGGTGTTGTAGCTATAGGACGTCTGTGGAACGACAGGATTCCTGTATAATATTATATAATGTTGTAACAGTGCTCTGGGGGACTGCAGACCCGTCTGCTTCAGAACCAGTACAATCAGATGCCAATCACATTGGTTATTTACCAGAGGTCTTACCTTGAGGCAAACTTCACTCCAAAGCTTTGCCCTTCCCTGGAGGTCTGACTGGTTCAGGATTGAGCAGGTTTGGGCACGGTTCCTGGTGCCTGGCTTGATAACAGGCACCAGGAACAAAAGGGGTGTAGAGGTGTTGGCAGGCAGGATAGATAGTTTGGTTATCATAGAACCATAGAATTATGCAGCACAGAAGGAGGCCATTCGGCCCATTGTGTCTGTGTTGGCTCTTTGAAAAGACCTATTCAATTCTCCCCCGCGCTCTCCCCAGAGCCCTGCACACCTGTCTCCCCCAAATAATTATCTACTACTCTCTCAAAAGTTGTTAGCAAGTGTTTAAACTGGGCTCAGGGGTGGTTGGGGTAGTGTAAGACAGCACCCAACCAATTAGGGAAAACCTTAAAGCTTACAAGTGAAAACATAAACCCAAATATAACGGGTCTAACTCCAAAGGTTGGAGTAGAAGAAACAAAAAATGCTTATAAAGTAATTGGGAAAGGCATAAGACAATGGAGCTGTACTTGCATTAATACAAGAAGTCTGACAAGCAAGATGCGTGATCTGGAAGGCCTTGTAGGAGGTGACAGATTGGACATCATTAGCAACACAGAGATATGGTGGAATGACTCCAATCAATGGGATACACACCTGCAAAGTTATAAACTGTTCAGTAGGGACCGTATCAGGAGAAGAGGAGGTGGTGTGGCACGACATATAAACTCCATTAATGAGACACTAGTGAGTGAGGATATACAAAAGGAAAGGGCAGACACAGAATCACTTTGGGTAGAATTAAAAGATGGTAACGAGGTAAGCTATTACTGGGGTCTGCTATAGACTCCCAAGCCTGGGTGACAGCCTCAAAAAAAAGCTCCTGAGGACATTTGAGGAGCTGAAATCTGACAGTAAAATCTGGACACAGTATAAGTTTACTCACTGGTTACTTTGAGTCGGGTCCCGTTCCCACAGACATCTCCCCACACACAGCAGTGATAGACGGCAGCGTCACTGACTGTCACTCGTCTGAGTATCAGAATGTAGGTGTTATTGGAGGTGACTCTGGACGGCTGGAGACGCTGATTAACATCTTCGTGATCTGTTTTCCTTCCATTTGTATCATGTGTTAAAATCCACTCCTTATGCTGTCCCGGGAGTTGTCGGTACCAGTGTACATCGGTGTGGCTCACGTTGGCGTTCTTCATGGAGCACTGTAACCGGGCCGGGTGTCCCTCTGCGACACGTTCCAGGGTCGGGGACTGAATGAGGAGAGGATCAGCCGCACCTTTAAGGGACAAATCTCCGTCAGTTACAGTCCAGCCTGGAGGGAACAGTCCTACACTGATCACAGGCAATTAGTTTGTTTCAAATCAGTGACTAAACTAAATATCGTCACTAACATTATATTAAATTATAACAATTATATAATACATTTGATTGTATAATCTGACGTGAAGATTCTCCTCAATGGGACAGACCAAAGCTTTATCTAATCCCGGGGAGTTTGGGGTAGGTATAGAGACCCAAGCCTTGGACTTTAACCAATGTGAGCACTGCCGACTGGCACTGCCGACACTTCCTGCTGCTTGTCCAGCTCGTATCACCGTGAGGTTACATATACTAAATTATAATAATAATAATCCTTGCGTTTGATATAGAATACATCAACAACAACAACAACTTGGATTTATATAGCGTCCTCCACGCCGGACAGCGTCTCAGAGTGCTTTTCTATATCATTTCTATATCAACTGAGGCAATGGAGTGAAGAGCAACAGAGTGAGAATTCTGTTTGGGAATTAGGTGAGAGTGGGAATTAGGTGCAGGTGAGAACTTGTAAAAGAGAAACAAATCCCCCAAGAGCCTGCACAAAAGGTCACAGCCCTGTGGCGGTAGGTGTTGAGTGGGCGTTTAGTATATACGGAGTGTGAGCAAGCGAATAAAAGGTGTGAAATTACTTGTTTTTACCTACTTACCCCAAAACTGTTGAGACAAAACATGTCTGAAAACCTGGCAGGGCAGCTGAGACCCATTCCATGTACACTGTGTGCCATGTGGGAACTGCAGGATGGTTCATGTGTTCTGGACAAACACGTGTGTGTGTAGGAAGTACCCCCGGCAGCTTGAGCTGGAGCTCAGGGTCACTGAGCTTGAGGAGGGACTACAGTCACTACACAGGAAATGGGAGAACAAAGAATTTATGGATCGAACTTTTCAGGAGGTGGTCCCCCACAGCCACAGAGAGTTCAGGGGGTGGTCACCCCACAGCCACAGGGAGTAGGAGGTGGTCACCCCACAGCCACAAAGGGCTCAGAAGAAGGGTGAGTGGGTGACCATCCGATGTGGAGCAAAAAAAGAACAGGCAGAAATGCCCTAAGAGTGTGGCACTCACACACTGGTTCTCAGTACTGGATACCGGTGAGGACACCTCTGAGAGAAGAGTCCAAAGGTAACCGATGTTCAGGGGGACAAGGGGAGAAACACCAACGCTGCTGTTATCGGGGATACAAACAGTTAAAGGGACAGACAGGCGTATTTGCCATAAAGGCCGGGCTCGCGCCTGGTATGCTGCCTCCATGGGGTCGGGGTGCAGGACGTCACGGAACAGGTGCAAAATATCCTACATGGGCAAGGGGAAAGTCCGGAAGTTGTGGTCCACGTCGGGATCTATGATGTAGGTGATAAAAGGGCTGAGACCCCACAGGGAGAATATCAGAAGCTTGGGAAGAAGCTAAAGAGCAGGACCTCAATGGTGGTGATCTCGGGATTACTCCCAATGCCTTATACAACAACAACAACAACAAGATTCCATTTATAAAGCGCCTTTCACGTCAGGAGGACGTCCCAAGGAGCTGCACAGTTGGGTCATGACCCGAGCAGGGGGGAAATGGTCAGGGTGAGGGGAGGGAAGGGAGGGAGCGAGGAGGGGGAAATGGTCAGGGTGAGGGGAGGGAAGGGAGGGAGAGAGGAGGGGGAAGAGAGTCGAGAGGGGAGCTGAAGGCTCGGTCAAAGAGAAAGGTCTTGAGACCGGCCTTGAAGGAGGAAAGGGAGGAAGCGGCGAAGGCACTGGGGATGGAGTTCCAGAGCCTGGGGGCTGAGAGGCTGAAGGCCCGACCACCGATGGTAGGGCGTTGGGGCGGGGGACGTGGAGCAGACCGGAGCCAGAGGAACGGAGGGTACGGGCAGGTAGGTAGGGGGATAGTAGGTCGGAGAGGTAGGAGGGAGCAAGGCCGTGAATGGCCTTGTAGGTGAGGATGAGGATCTTGAAATCAATCCTCTGGGGATGGGGAGCCAGTGGAGGCGAGCGAGGGTGGGAGTGATGTGGTCCCGAAGCCTGGTGCGGGACAGTACACGAGCTGCAGAGTTCTGAATGACCTGCAGCTTGTGGAGGGAGGTGGCGGGAAGGCCGGCGAGGAGAGAGTTCCCGTAGTCCAGCCTTATACAAGTGAACACCAAACTGGGAGGATCAAACACATGAATGCCTGGCTGGAGAAATGGTGCAGGAAGGAGGGCTTCAGCTTTCTAAGCCACTGGGTCAAGTTCTGGGGCAGATGGGGCATGTGCACGAGGGATGGGTTTCACCTGAGCAGGGTTGGGACCAATGTCATTGCAACAAGGATAACAAATGCTGTTGGAAAGCATTTAAACTGATTTTGAGGGGGATGGGGATCAGAATGAATGTCGAATTCAAGATCCTCATCCTCACCTACAAGGCCATTCACCCTGACCATTTCCCCCCAATGCTCGGGTCCTGACCCAACTGTACAGCGCCTTGGGACGCTTCCCAACGTGAAAGGCGCTCTATAAATGGAATCTTGTTGTTGTAGCATCAGGGAGGGGAAACGAGTTACATATTGGATGAGGAGAGACAAACAGAAATGAAATAAGGAATAGTCCAGCAAACAGTGGAAAGAGATGGGGGAGAGATGTAAAGTGGATTAAGCCGATATTGGAGTACCTGTGTGTAAATGCACAGAGAGTGACGAATAATATTGGTGAGCTGCGACTCAAGGAGCCACATGGGGTTATGATGTAGTGGCAATTACGGAGACTTGGCTCAAGCAAGGACAGGAATGGGAGCTGAATATTCCTGGCTACATCCTATTCAGGAGGGATAGGGAAGGGAAAAAGGCAGGAGGGATGGCAATATTCATTAGGGACGCAGTCACAGTACTGGAACAGGACGATGTGTTAGTGGGTCCAAAAACTGAATCTATTTGGTTAGAGTTATGGAGCAGAAAAGGAGCTGTTACTGTTAGGTATTTACTATAGACCTCTAAATAGTGGGAAGGAGATAGATGAGCAAAATCTGCAGTAGATTTCGGAGAGATGCAAATCCAATAGAGTAGTGATAATGGGGGACTTCAATTATCCTCACATAGACTGGGAAACACAGCGTGTAAAGGGCAAGGAAGGGGAGGAATTCCTGAAATATGTGCAAGAGAACTTTCTGGATCAGTATGTTTCCAGTCCAACGAGGAAGGAAGCAGTGCTGGATTTAGTTCTGGGAAATGAAGTGGGGCAAGTGGAGCAGGTTTCAGCAGGAGAGCATCTGGACAACAGTGATCACAACATCATTAGGTTTAGAATAGTTATGGAAAAGGACCACAATCAATCAAAGGTAAAGGTAAAGACTCTCAATTGGAAGCGGGCTAACATCAGTGAGTTAAAAAGGGACCTGGCCAAGATAGACTGGAAAAAAAATTGGCAGGTAATACAGCAAACGAACAATGGGAAGCCTTTCAGGAGGAGATAGTTCGGGGACAGAGCAAATACATTCTCACAAAGGGGAAAGGTAGGACAGTCAAACCTCCCTGGATGACTAAGGAAATTGGGATTAAAATGAAACAGAAAAAAGAGGCTTATGACAAATGTCAGGTCCAAAACACACAGGATAGTCAAATAGAATGTAGGAAGTACAGAGGAGAAGTGAAAAGGGAAATAAGAGGGGTGAAGAGATTGCTATAGACTCCCAAGCCTGGGTGACGGCCTCGATCTGGAACTGTGGCATGAGATAAGGAAGGTGACCAGCAAGGGACCAACCACAGTAGTTGGAGATTTTAAACTTACCGGAGATTGACTGGGATAGCCATGTGTCTGCTGGTGAAACAGGGAAGGGGTTTCTCGAGTTAAGGGAAGGCTGTTTTATGACTCAGTTTGTATAGAGCCAACAAAGGGAGATAACATCTTGGATTTAATAATGAGCAACAGATGATCAAATCTTCACCATTAGACATCACAGAACAGGTGTGAAACCTTCTATAGGGGAAGGGGAACATCCAGAAGTCGGGGTCCATGTTGGCATCCATGATGTAGGGGCAAAAATGGCCTGAGATCCTACAGGGAGAGTATCAGAAGTTAGGGAAAAAGCTAAAGAGTAGGACCTCAAAGGTGGTGATCTCTGGATTACTCCCAGAGCCTCGTGCAAGTGAGTTCGGGAGCGGAGTCAAGGAGGAGGAGTGGAGCTGAGGCCTAGCAGCGGGTATTAAAACCCCACGAGGTGAGGGGTGTCGCACATCTACAAAAGTGATTTTGGCATGACGTCATAACTAAAAAATGGCCTGGCAGCCCCGGTCACTGCCATCCCAGCCATCACCACACAGCCTGAGGGCTGATGCCAACCCACTTATTGCTCGCTCCCGGTCTCTGTGTGCTCCCCGCCCGAGCCTCCCCCTCCACTCTAAATGTCTCTCCTCCCACCCCTCAATGTCTCTCCTCCCACCCCCCTCTATCCGCTACTCCCCCTCTGACCTTCTCTCCCACCGCCCTCCCCGCCTTCTCTCTCTCCACGACCCCATCACCGCTGCCCTCTGCTCCAGCCTCGGCATCCTCCACCGGGCTCTTCGTGGCTCCCGGCACTGGCTGTCCCAGAGCAGCCACCCCACGTGTCCCATTACTCACTCCCTCCGCTCAAACCGCCTCCTTAAGGCAAACACAACTTCCCCCTCCATCATACGTAGACCTCCACAACTCTCCATTCACACCACTCTCTACAGCCATCTCCCTGTACGCCCCCAAATCCTCTCCGCATCACTCTCTCCTCCCTTTCCTCACCACCAGCAAACCCACCCGCTTTTCCTTTCAAAATGTCCGTTCCCTCTCTAACAAAGCCCTCACCACCCATGACCTCATCCTGGATGATCACCTCGACATTCTTGGGTTCATCGAAACATGGCTCTCCCCAATGTCCCCTTCCCCCGAGTTGAAGCCTCCCCTCCAGGCTACACCTTCACCACACCCCCCGGCCAAATCAACATGGTGGCGGGGTAGACCTCATCTCCAAAGCCTCCCTTGGCCTCACTCCCTACTCCTCTGGCTGCTTCCCCTCCTTCAAGAACCTCACCCTCTTCCATCCCTCTCTCCCATTGAAAATCCTCCTCGTCTACCCGCCCCTAAGCCCCCCGGCTCCTTCCTCTCTACATCTCTACTCTCCTCTCTTCCCTGTCCCTCTGCTCCAAGCGCCTGCTCATAATGGGCGATTTCAATCTCCACCTAAACTCCCCTTACACCACTTCTGCCGATTTCACTGTCCTCCTCTCCTTAAACCTCATCCTTCGCATAAACTCACCCACCCACAACCTTGGTCATGCCCTCGACCTCGTCATTACCCACGGCCTTGACATTTCCGACCTTAGCACAGTGGACAAGGCCATTTCGGATCACTTCCTCATCTCATTCTCCTCTCACATCCCTCTCTCCTCCACCAAGCCCTCAACCATTATCTACCACCCGTGGAAAAGGCTACCCCCTGAGACCCTCACAAACGCCCTCTCATCATCAAACATCCTATCCCTCTGGCCTTCCACGCACAGAGATCCTAAAGCAGCCGTCCAGTTGCTCCCTGATCATCCCTCATCCACCTTCAACTCCCTCTTCCCCCTAAAATCCAGGACCATCTCCAAACCCACCCGATCCCCCCAGTACAACAACCATCTCCAAACCCACCCGATCCCCCTGGTACAACAACCATCTCCAAACCCACCCGATCCCCCTGGTCTGACAACCATCTCCAAACCCACCCGATCCCCCTGGTACAACAACCATCTCCAAACCCTCCCGATCCCCCTGGTACAACAACCATCTCCAAACCCTCCCGATCCCCCTGGTACAACAACCATCTCCAAACCCTCCCGATCCCCCTGGTACAACAACCATCTCCAAACCCACCCGATCCCCCTGGTACAACAACCATCTCCAAACCCACCCGATCCCCCTGGTACAACCACCATCTCCAAACCCTCCCGATCCCCCTGGTACAACCACTGTCTCCAATCCCACCCGTTCCCCCCGATACAACAACCCTCATCCTTCACTCATTCCTCCCCATCTCTCCCTCCTCTTTCTCACCAACCACCACTTCAATGAAACCCACCACCTGCTGCCTCGACCCCTTCCCCACCAACTTGCTGGTCACACAGCTCCCCCTCCTCTGCCCACTACTGGCTGACGTCATCAACCAGACCCTCTCCTCTGGATCAGTCCCTGACCCCTCAAAACTGCTGTCATCACCCCCCTCCTCAAGAAACCCTCCCTAGATCCCTCAAACCCCGGCCACTATCGCCATATATCTAACCTGCCCTTCCTCGCAAAAGTTCTAGATCGCGTTGTTGCCAACCAACTCCGCGCACACCTCTCCTCCCACTCCCTCTTCGAACCCCTCCAGTCCGGTTTCCGCCCACCGGACAGTACAGAGACTGCGCTCGTGAAAGTCACAAATGACATCCTCTCTATCTGTGACCGGGGCTCCCTCTGCCTCCTTGTCCTCCTGGACCTCTCTGTCATGTTTGACACAGTCGATCACTCCATCCTCCTCCACCGCCTTTCCTTCGTTATCCACCTCAGTGGGACCGCACTCGCCCGGTTCGAGTCCTACCTCACAAACCACCAGCAGTTCATCTGCACAAATAGCTTCTCCTTCCGCTCTCACCCGGTCACCTGCGGGTACCCCAAGGATCCATCCTGGTCCCCCTCCTCTTTCTGACCTACATGCTCCCTCTTGGGGATGACATCCGCAGACATGGGGTACATTTCCACATGTACGCGGATGACACTCAAATCTATTTTTCCACCTCACTTTGCGCCCCCCCCAGTCCCCCAATGTTCTGCCTGTCAGACCTCAGGGGTTGGATGAGCGCAAACTTCCTTCAGCTGAACGTTGACAAGACGGAAGCCATACTCTTTGGCTCTCGTCAACGTCTGAAATCTCACGGTTCTCACCTCCTCCACCTGCCCGACCTCCCCCTAAAACTCTCCGAACCCATACGCAACCATACGCAACCCAGGCATCAGGTTCGACCCCCAGTTATCCTTCCTCCCCCACATCCGGTCCCTCACCAGCACCGCCTTCTTCCACATCCAACACATCGTCCGTCTCCGCCAATACCTCTCCCCAAAAGCCACTGAAACCCTGGTCCAGGCCTTTGTCACCTCTCGGCTGCACTACTCTAACGCCCTCCTCACCGGCCTCCCCTCCACTGCCATCCATCAAATCCTGATCATTCAAACCTCTGCCGCCCGCATTCTCACCCGCACCAAACCCCTCTCCCCGATCCCCCCAGTCCTGGCCCTCCCCCCACACCCAAACCCCTCTCCCCGATCCCCCCAGTCCTGGCCCTCCCCCCACACCCACACCCCACTCCCCGATCCCCCCAGTCCTGGCCCTCCCCCCACACCCAAACCCACTCCCCGATCCCCCCAGTCCTGGCCCTCCCCCCACACCCAACCCCACTCCCCGATCCCGCCAGTCCTGGCCCTCCCCCCACACCCAAACCCCTCTCCCCGATCCCCCCAGTCCTGGCCCTCCCCCCACACCCAAACCCCTCTCCCCGATCCCCCCAGTCCTGGCCCTCCCCCCACACCCAAACCCCTCTCCCGATCCCCCAGTCCTGGCCCTCCCCCCACACCCAAACCCCTCTCCCCGATCCCCCCAGTCCTGGCCCTCCCCCCACACCCAAACCCCACTCCCCGATCCCCCCAGTCCTGGCCTCCCCCACACCCAACCCCACTCCCCGATCCCCCCAGTCCTGGCCCTCCCCCCACCCACACCCAAACCCCACTGCCTGATCCCCCCAGTCCTGGCCCTCCCCCCCACACCCAAACCCCACTGCCTGATCCCCCAGTCCTGGCCCTACCCCCCACACCCAAACCCCACTGCCTGATCCCCCCAGTCCTGGCCCTACCCCCCACACCCAAAACCCCACTGCCCGATCCCCCCAGTCCTGGCCCTCCCCCCACACCCAAAGCCCACTCCCCGATCCCCCCTGTCCTGGCCCTCCCACCCCCCCACCCCCAAACCCCACTCCCCGATCCCCCCAGTCCTGGTCAGACTGCACCGGCTCCTGTCCCGGAGAGGATCCACTTCAAGATCCTCACTCTTGTCTTCAAATCCCTCCACTCCTCTGCCCCTCCGACCTCTCTGACCTCCTCTCTCCTCACAACAGTACCCATTGCCTTTGTTCCTCAGGTCTGACCTCCTCCTCGTCCCCCGAGGCCTCCGCTCCCCCATCGGTGGCTGTGCCTTCAGCCACTGCGTCCCGAGGCTCTGGAACTCCCTCCCTCACTCCCTTCCCCTCATCCCCTCTCTTCCCATTCTCAGGTCTCAGCTGAAGACCCTTCTTTTCGACCTTTGGTCACCTTCCCCACTAACCCTGGCTCCTCCCCCTCCCCCTGGCCCCTCCCCCTGGCCCCTCCCCCTGACACCTGCCCCCCCCTGGCTCCTCCCCCTGGCACCTGCCCCTCCCCCTCTCCGGGCTCCTCCCCCTCACCTAGCTCCTCCCCCTCCCTGGCCCCTCCCCTCCCCTGGCTCCTCCCCTGCCATGGCTCCTCCCCCTCCTCTTGACTCCTCCCCCTGACTCCTGTCCCTCCCCCTCCCCCAGTTCCTCCCCCTCCCTGGCTCCTCCCCTCCCCTGGCTCCTCCCCTGCCATGGCTCCGCCTCCCTCTGGCTCCTCCCCCTCCCCCTGGCTCGGCCCCGTTACTGTGACGTGCTCTGAGACGCTGTTGGGTGTGAGGGCGCTATATAAATCCAAGTTGTTGTTGTTATCAAAACAGTAGATCAAATGCATGAATTCATGGCTGGAGATATGGTGCAGAA